TGACAGTCCCTTGGCGGGGGCTGAGCTGCCAGCACCCAGCAGGGAGGGGACTTGCTGCAGCGGGGACGTGGGGGTTCTCGCAGGCTCCTCCCTCCCACTCTGAGCATCATGAACCAGATTTTAACATGGATTCAGCCACTTGCCCAGGCACGTGGCCTGGCTCCCCGTAATAGCTACCCCGAGTCACACCGCTCCTCCAGTGATTCATTTAGCACCTGCTCCGTGCCTGGCCCCACGGCAGGCCCCAGGGCCACCTCCAGCTGCGTCTTTACTGACGGCTGCCTCACCCAGGCTGCGCAGCATGGCGTGGACAGCCCCGGACGTGGTGCCCTGCTTTTCTGGTTCACACCCTGTGCTTTTGCCCACCCCCGCGCTGTCCAGCCTTCCAACGGGAGTGGGCCAGGTAGGAAAGCCATGGCTCTTGCCTACAGTTGCGGAGACTAGATGAGGAGAGAGTCTGCACTGTGGGAGAGAATCTCGGGAGACTTCCTTCCAGGTGGAGGTGACATTTGAGCCAGGCCTCAAAAGATCAGGGGAGGTGGGCAGTAGCTTTCCAGAATTTGAGCAAGAGAACTTTTGTTTTGAATGAAATCTCAGAAGGATTCCCCATATAACAGGATCTCTGTAGAGCCACATGCGTTGAGGCCGCAAGAGGGCTGGGAAGACAAGACACTGGTGTGCTCACGGCTGATGGACTACTGCAAGAGTCCAGGCAGGAAGGGACACTTGCCTAGTACAGATAGAGCCATATATCCCAGAGACTGAGTTGGCACAGAATCCACAGGACATGCTGTAAGGGACAAGAGAGAGGGAGGTGTCAAGTCTGACATGCCCCCCCATGTTGGGGAGGGAACAGGCCCGAGCAGGGTGGGGATGTGCAGATAGTGTACTAGCTATAGCCGCTTAGCTACTGGCCCTTCTGGGCCCAACTTCATGGCTTGAACACCAACCGGTCACTATTTTCCACCAGGACACAGATGATCTGGGGTGGCTCTAGGTGGACCTGCTCCTTTCTGCTCCATGTGGTGTGTTGTCCTGCAGCAGGCTGGCCTGAGAACACTCTAGCGGTGGCAGCAGGCCTCGGAAAGGGAGATCACAGGCCGAGCCCTGCCCTAGGCTCTAGACCTCACTACGTGCTGTTGGCTGGAGCAAGTCCCAAGTCCAGCCCATATTCACAGGGTTAGGAAATGCATGCCACTTCTCATAGCCGCATAGTCACGCTGCACAGGACCGGGATACAGGGATGGGGAACCGCGGCGGTCATGGCAGTCCATCCACCACCCACGCAGTCCCTTTGCCAGTTTGCATTTGAGGCGTCTGTAGACATCCGAGCTGTCCAGAGACAGCTGGGCTCAGCATAGAGACTCACCGGCCATCAGGCAGTGTCGCGGGGCAGGCGGGCACTGCCCTAGAACAGCTGGCCGAGGAGGAGGGGTGGCCCCCGGGGAAACTGAGGAGCAGCAGCCAGAGAAGGTGAGGGAGCACAAGCGGGCCTGGCAGCGAGGCAAGGGAGGACAGGGTGTCAGGCAGCAGGGAGGGCTGGTGGGGTCACTCTGGCCAGCCTGGTGGGCCTGGGGAGTAAGAGGGAGCCAAGGGTCAAGCAGGCCAGGCTGCTCCGATGTCTGGGAGGCAGGACGTCTAGCAGACCAGGCGTTGGGTGGGTGCGAGGTGCCCACAGAGGCCTGGGTCAGGCTGCTGGCCTCTGCCCACAGGCTGGCCTGGTCTGGCCCACTAACTCTGCCTCCTTTCGGTCCTTATTAAGGTGGCCCTGTGGCCACCCTGTCAGTTAGCTAGGAGGTTCCCAGGTGCAGACAGACACCAGGAGAGGGGCCAGGTAATTGACCACTGGCTCTTCGCAGTGACTCCCCTCCCGACGTGGGAGGATGCGGGGAGTTGCTGAGAGCTCCCCTTGGCGGGAGTAGCTGCCCCGACCCAGGGGGCTGAGGCAGGCCTGGGGTTTAGCCCAGTGCTCTTTGGAAAGTCTAGTTCAGTCCCAGAACAGTGTCTGGTTCGTCTGAGCAGAGGGAAGGGACAGGCTGGTGACCTACCTACAGCAGCAGCCCCAAGATGGAGACGTGGGCAGTTTTCCAGTCAGAGGCACCCCAGCTTCTGGCATGAGTTGGTGGAAAGAAGGGGAGACAGTCTCCGAGAGGCCCCGCCCCTCTGCCCCGCCTGCTGCCTGTCATGCACCTGTCATGGTGCCACCCCCAAAGTGAGCAGGAAGAATGTGCCGGGGGCAGAGTGCAGCCTTGGCCAGTGAGGCCTCCTGGCCCTTTGTAGGTTTGGGGTTTGTTCAGAACGATGGCTGGCGAGGCTGGGAGGGAGGGTGGATGAGCCCAGAAAGGGACCAGGTCGGGGGTGGGGATGCCAGGGGGAAAAGGCAGGGTCTCCCTTCTGGGCTGGCAGGGGAACGGGGCCTCGCCGAGACAGCAGCATGCCCGGGCTGAGTGAGCGCAGGGAGCGGCCATGCCCGCTGTACTCTCCGCCCTCGGCAGTGGCGGTGCTCTGGCACCCAGCTACGTGCTGGATTCGCTCAGAGCTGAAACCTCTGTGTCCCCTCCTCTCCCTGCCCCCATAGAAACAAGCCCCCGAATCCTGAGCACCCGCTGCGTGCCACACGCGTGCAGGGTGTTTAACACACACTCTTCACGGCAGGTGGCATAAACGCCCATTCTGCAGATGTGGACACCAAGGCTCAGCAAAGTATCTGACGCTCAAATCCAGGCCTGTGACTCCGCTACCCAGTATTCCACTGGCGTTCACTGAGGTGGCAATGCCTCTTCCAGGGGCTGGGCATACAGCTGGGGGAGGGGCCAGGCCGGTGCCCCTTGGAGCCTGCCTGCCAGTGGGCAGGGGACAGGGAGCAAGTGGCCATACATAGCTGGGCCTCTCCTAGAAGGAGAGTGAGTACCAGAATTGGGGGGTAGGGTGGTGCTTAGCCAGGGAGTCAGGGGAAGCCTCCAGTGACAAGGAGTGGCCCACGTGCCAATTGTGGCAATCGGGAAAGACTTCCAGGTGGAGGAGGAGAGGCGTGGAGGATTTTAAGCAGGATCCGATTTAGTCTGAAAAGAGCTGCGGCAGCCGGGCCCTGTGGGCAGTGAGCCCTCCTCTCCTGGCCACAGCGGGGAGACCGCACCCTGTCCTAACCACTGAATCTTCTCTTTGGTCACAGGTTGCATATTCATCGAAGAGAACTTTTCTTTGAAATGTCCCAAACATAAGGTAAGTGACCGCAGAGTTCCCTTGGGGCGGGGTCAGGCAGGAGAGAAGCCCCCCTCCCTTCTGCGGAGCCCCCGCGGGGCCCAACCCCCTCCCGCCCCCGCGGGCCGTGCCAATCCTCCAGCGTTGGGCGGGGGGTGCGCGCTGTCACAAACCACGAGAGACCCGGCAGGTCCTGAGGGATGGGGCTGCCAGGGGCCGGGGGCATCCCTGGGAGCGCCTCCCCCCAGCTCCCCCCAGACAGGGATGCGCGGGCAGGCTGGGGCTCGGACGGTGCGCACGGAGGTGCAGGCTGACAGCGTGAGGCCAGCTGCCTGCGGCAGGGACCACAGCCACGCCGCCGGGGCGGGGCCTGTGACCTGGGAGGAGTTGACCCCGCGCGGGGGCGAGCCCGTGTAACGCGCGCTCGGGCCTTTCCTTGCAGAGGCTGCCGTTGTAACGCACCGCAACGGCCGGAGGAGCCGCCGGAGCCGCCTGCCCGCCGCCGCCGCAGCAGAGGAGCCGCCGGCGCGCCCCGGGCCTTTGAGCTGCTCCCAGCGCGGGTCCAGAGCCGATCCTTGATCTGGGTTCCGGATCTTGGATCCGGCCGCCCAGGGCGCAGACGCGCGGCCCCGTGTTGGGAAGAAAACCCGTTCCGGAGTCGCCTGCTCCCGAAACCGGACGGCACAGGGCGTCCTCGCCCACACCCCAGGGCCCAGGCTCGGAGACCGGAGCACGCGGAGCGGCCAGACTCCTCGGCGCACTCGGCCTCCGGTGGGGGTGGGAGCTGGCTTTGGCCTGGGGACGCTTCCCCTCCCCCCCGAAGTTCCAAGACGACGTGGCACACATTCCACGTGGGTGCTGCTGCCACCCCAGTCTGTCGTGGCCCGCAGCCGGGCGCCCTAGGGGTGGAGGTGGGGATCCAGACGGCCCTAGAAGCAGCCGCGGGCTCCCTGAGCGAGGCGGGGGTTAAAGGAAGCCTTGCTGCGGAGGGCTGGGCCAGCGGGAGAGGGAGCCGGAGGCTTTGGAGCAAACCATCCGAAACGTGTCCAAGCGCCCTTCCCACCCAGCCTTTGCCAAAGCTTTCGTGTGGTTCGGCAAAGCCAGGGTAGTCCTGGGCCTGTGCTCGGGGGATGTGGGCTCCCCGGGTGTGGGCGAGACTGGGACATCTTTTGGCTTGTGTTCGTCCCCTTCCCAGTCCACCCCACCCCTGGAGCCCAGCCTGGGAGCGCAAAAGGAAAGGAGATTCGACCAGAGCGCGCCTCCAGCGGACCGTCCCTCTGCACCAACACTGGGACCGCGGCGCCCACTCAGCACGGGAGCAGGGACAGTGCTAGATTTGTGTACAAAACCTGTGTACCCCTCTATATATATGTTACATAGAATGTATATATGTTGGGAACATGCTCGCTTCACCCGTGTGTCGCCGCCGTGCGTCCCGCAGCACAGAGTCCCAACAGGGTCCTTGGCGGGTAGGGGGCTCCCGCGATGCCCCTTCCCCATGCAGCCACCACCGGCCGGCCAGTCCCTGCCAGTCCGTCCCGTCCGCCTGTCTGTCCGTGTCCTCAGCTCTGTCCACGCTTCAATAGGCCTGACGCAGCCCCCAGCCCGGGGCCGCCATAGCAATTTCCTGTACATATGACTGTAAAATGGTAAACGTGTGTATTATATCTGGCCTCGTTATATAGTGTATATATATGTATACATATACATATATATAATATATATGAAGACTGTAAATGTTAAGACGACTAGTGTTCTTATTAGTATATTGCTTCACACTGAAGATTGTGTGTATCGAGCTGTTTCTAAAAGATGTTTATTTTCCTTAAGAGTAAAAAACAGTCATTGCATTCAGAAAAAAAAAAGTCAATAAAGATACAACGATTGTTTTGGAAAGTCTGCAGCCCGTGGATTCTGACCAGATTACCCAGGGACAGGGGCCAGGCTTTGGGGGTGGGGGCACAGATGGGTCAGGGAGTCTGCCCCTTACTGTAAGAACTGGACGCCCCTGCAGCCCGAATGCCTCCCCCTCAAGGCTTCCCCAAGCTGTGAGAGATGACCAGGGGACAGAGTGGGGGAGCTGAGACACCCCGAACATACAGAGATCCAGTTGTAGCTCCTGTCACAACAGGTCCTTGAGGACACTTGAGTCTATTCTCCCATGTCACCCTAGGACCCGATGGGGGCAGAGCTGGTAGGTGAGAAGGGACAGCTAAGCCTATCAAGGCCCCAAGGTTGATCAGCCCAAAGGTGGCCCAGAGATCAGTGGGACAGGTCAGCTGGAGGTCAGCCAGCCACCCCTCCCCATCCCCCACGAAAGGTAAATTTCACTGGGGTGGGTGGGGGATGGGAAGCCTATGCGTAGGTAGGGGGGAAGGCCCAAAGGACACTTGCTGGTCAGCATGTCCATCAGCTGAGGCACACACCCTCCTCCGCAAAGGAACAAAACCTAGGTTATAAATAATTTCACTTTATTTCTCTGTACAAAACTCACCCTATGAAAATAAAGTTTGCAAAAGGCATGGTAGTACGTGAGGCCCGGAGGCCAGCGCACTGCTCTACACTATATACAAGTCTCCCTAGAAGGGAGAGACACACCTTGGGGCAGGGCCCCCCGTTGCAGCCGGGAAAGCCACACTGGCCCCCCTCAATTCGGCGAAACGTACCGTCTCTTTCCTCTAGACAGGAGGGGAAGAGCCAGCAAGGAGCCCGCTCAGCGAGAAGCGGCGCCCGGCAGGCTCGGGCCCTGCAATGTCCCGACCGGCCACCAGAGGTCAGCACCATCCCGGCGGCCGCTCGTCGGGCTGAGGAGCCGGCTGGGGTGGTGGGGGCGCGGCCATCCGGCCCCCAGGGCAAGACAAAGGTCCCCGCGGGCTCCCACCCGCCAGGGACAGTGCAGCCATGGCTGAACGGTGCAGACCGGGGCCTCCGGTGCTGCCTTCGGCCTTCAGGGCTCGGACCCGGAACGCAGACCGCAAGGGCCGCGGCCGCTGGAGACGGGCGCAGGGCAGGAACGCCGCCCGGAGTCTAGCTGGAGGTGACGGTGGTCCCGCCGCCCAGGCGCATGAGCATCTGCTGGCAGTCGTGCAGCAGCCGGCGGTCGCCCAGCTTCTCGAGCGTGCGCGCCGCCTCGGCCAGCATGCTCACGCGCTGCCCGGGCGCCGACAGGAAGCCGGGCGGCAGGTAGCAGGACGCCAGCAGCAGGGCCTCCGCGTGCTCCCGCCGCGTGGGCCGCGGCTCCAGCTCCGCCGCCGCGCCTGCGCACACGCACACGGCCGCGTCGGGGGCAGGCCGCGCTCTGGCCACGCCCCCGCGCCGCGCGCAGAAGCCCCGCCTCCGCCCGAGGCCTGCGGCCCCAGTGCCCAAGCACACGGGGTTTGCAGTGCCACTCCCCCCACCCCAGTCTCGGGCACACACGTGAAGCCTCAAACCGCTCCCCGGGGCCTGTCCAGTAGAACACGGACTCAAAGTCACGCATGCATGTGTGCCCCACAAATGATGTCTCGGGCCAGGTGTCAGCATCAGGGGACACGCACACGTGCACACACACAGTTGCCTTCACTAGCCGCCAAGCCCCATCGGATCCCTTCCCACCTGGGCGGGGGGAGGACTCCCCTGTGTGGGCAGCTGGCCCCTCACCTCCTTTGCCACCTGGGCTTGCCCGCCGCCTCAGACTGCGGTCCAGGAGCTGGTGCGTCCGCGTGGGGCTGGCCCCCGCCATCAGCCGGGCCGTGGCCTCATGTAGGAACACCTGGGCGAGAAGGCCAGGACAGTCCAGGTTCAGGGCTCCTTCCACACACGGCTTTATGTCCCCAACGTGAGGAGAGGGCTGCGGGCACTCACCCTCCGCATGGCAGGCCGGAAGCTCTGTGCCAGCCGCCTGAGGCCACTCAGGTCCCGCTGGAAGCCACGCAGCTCGAGGGCAGAGGCCTGGGCCCTGACACTGGCGCCCTGGGACGCCTGGGCAGGTGCCGGAGGCTGCTGCTGCCGCCACAGGCTGGTTCGCACCACGAGGAGCAGGTCACACAGGAACAGCTGCACGGCCTGGGATGGCGGGTGGGACAAGGGTTATGGGGGCTCTAGGCCGGGAGGGGCAGGGTGGGGGCCCACGGTGCCAGGGGCCGGCTCCGGGCTGCACTGCCGAGGCACTGCACCCGCCTCACACACGTGCAATGCAACAGCAATGCACCGCGGGGCCGCCCGCCTCTCTAGGCCCCCACGCTGCTGCCTGCCAGGGGAGCAGCCATCCAGCCCTCCAACGCTGGCCTCAGAAGAGCGGCCCTGCCCCACTGCCCACCCTCCCCTCCTCCTGGGGTGGGGAAACTGAAGCTAGATAGGGGCAGCCACTCTCCCCTGGACTCAAGCCTTAGCCAAAAAGCAAAGTCAGCCAGACCCCCGGTTCCACGATGCTTGGGCTAACCCCATGGTCTTCTGTGACCCCTCAGGGGGAATGACCAGGGAGTGGAAAGCTGTGACCCCCTAGCCCTGCCAGGCCCCCGGCCCCACCCCGCACCTTGTCAATGGAGCTGCCAACTGGTGTGGTGGCCAGGCTGTCCCGCAGGTACCCACTGGCCTTCTCACAGATGGTCAGGCTGGCTGGGCCAGATTCTGCCTTTGCACAGCCCAGCAGGGCCCGTGCAGCCTTGAAGGAGTGCAGAGCCGCCCTGGGCAGGGGTCTCCTGTGGGGGCCAGGGCAGAGGAGTGCTGGTTAGACCAAGCCGCAGGCCCTTGAGCTCCCCACTGCCCTGGTCTGGCTTCCTGGGGAAGAAAGGATGGTGACCCCTGCCATGGAGAACAAAGGCTGGTGGAAGCATAGTCCCAATAGGCCAGGGAGGGCTGGGCCCCAGGGCCAGGGTAGAAAGAATCTGGCTGTGCACTCACTCGGACTCCTGCAGGGCACGGGGCAGGTGTTCCACCAGCGGGTACAGCCTCTCAGCCGCCTCCTCATCCCGCCGCAGCCAGTGGATCACCACAGCCGTCAGCGAGGCCCACCACTTGGCCACCGGGTCTGTGCCTGCAGAGGAGGAAGGGCCCCTGAGCCCTCAGCCACACTGCACCCGGGGCTGAGCAAGGAGTCAGGGGCAGGGGCCTGGGGTCTCACCCGTGGTGGCCATGCTGGAGCTGATGGAAAAGCTGCAGGCAGGAACGCCAGCAGCATCGGAACAGCTGTTCAGCAACTGCAAGTACCCGAGGGCATCTGAGAATTCCCTGTGGCAGGAGAGACTGGCTGTCAGGACAGATGGCAAGGGTCCTAGGAGTCCTAAGAGGGTGCTAGCCCTCCCCACCTGCTCCCCAGAGCATGGCCTGACCCTCTAGCTCTGCAAAGTGCTACTGTCTCCTCCTGCTAGGCTGGTGGGAAAATGAGATCCAGGGAGGAACCAAGGACACACAGTGAGTGGACAGTAGTCCAGGCTCTGGCCAATACATAGGTCCCTAGACATAACCATTCCTAGACACGCTGGAGGGGTCTTGCTTAGAGGAGGGCACAGGAATACTCACCTGTCCCCATCAGCTGACCCAGGGCTGGGGGTAGTGCTGGGCTGGGCCACACAGTTCAGTGCTTGCTCCAAGAGATGTTCTCGGAATAGCTGTGTCACCTGGGCCAGGGGGTCCACTGTGGGGAGGAGAGAGTGAGGGGGGAGGGACGAGAGCCTCACCCCTCCTATCCACATTCACCGCTACACGCTGGGGGCTCTTCCCTGGGAGGCCTGGGGCCACACCTAGGGCAGGTCAGAAGTGCTGGCTTGTCCCTGGAAGCATTCCCACCAAAGACAGGTGGAGGGTGGTGGATGAATACCCAGGCCCGGCACGGGTGGGGTAACAAGGAGGCCTGCCCTCCACTGCCTCCCAAAGCTGCCTGATTAGGTACCTTTGCCAGCTCTGCCCTTTCCATGCCTCACTTCCTCACTCCCGTCGGTGCTGCCTGGGGTCACCTCCCCAATCAACGACCTGCCCTCAAATCTCTGCCTTTACTTCCAAAGAACCCCGACTGGGACAAAGACCCAGCCAGACCTTCCCTTTCCCGCAGCCCCCACTGCAGCCCCCAGCGGCAGGGAGATGGGCTGGGCTGAGCAATGACATCCAGAGACTCGGGGGCAAGGGACCGGACAGGAATGAGGACAAGGGACAGGACAGGGTACAGGGAGGGGTGAGAGAGCACCTGGGTTCCCGGCCAAGCTGTACAGGCTCTCCCGAGGGGCACTGCGCACGGCCCAGTCCCCGTCCACGAAGAAACGGTGGCCCACGGGGTGGCAGAGCCACTGCATGGCAAGAGGCATTGAGCCACTCTGTGCCAGGCAGGCCTGGCGGGCGCTACTCAGGAAGAAACGCTGTGGGGGAGGGGAGCTGGGCTGTCACACTGGACCCAGGCAGGGGATCAAACCCAGACCCAGCCCCAACTTGGCCTGGCACCCACCTGGTAACCAACCTCATCCTGCACAGCCCCTTGCCCAGGAGCCTCTGGGAGAGCTGCAAAGTGAAGCCCCAGCACTGTCCCCACCGGCCCACCAGCCACTCACTGTCAGAAAATGCAAGGACCGCGGGAGACTGGTCTTGACTCTCAGCGCAGCCGCCACGTAGATCTCTGCCAGTGTCACCACAGACATGGCATCCCCCGCACACTCTGCCAGGTTCAGGGCACTCAGTGCCAGGTTGGTGGCAGTGAGGTGCCCGCCTGTGTACTTCCCTGGAAGGCAGATGGGACATGAGGTTGGGGTGGGCCGCAGTGGCAGGGAGCGCCCGAGCCCAGCTCCACACCAAACATACCCGTGGTGTGCAGCTGGTGCAGCTTATGGTACACAAGTGCCGCGTCTCGGGTGCTGGTGCGAGCATCCGCCTGCAGGGCGCAGTCCCTTTGCAGGCCCCCTGCCCGGCCTGCCAGCCAGCGGCCCACCCAGAGACGCTGCAGCAGGTGGCGGATGAGGTTCCAGAGTAGGCTGCAGGCCAGGTCCAGGTGGGAGGTGGGCAGGGGCCGGCCCAGCGCTCGCAGGGCCAACCACAGCTGCTGGGTGGCCTGAGCAAAGTCCCCCTGGGGAAGAGGGTTTTTCAGGTGAGAAAAGTGGGACCAGAGCACCTCTCCTCTATCTCTGAAGAGCCCTCTGCCTCAGGCTTCTGGGATCAGTGGTGGTATGAGGGCGACAGGAGCGGGGAGAACAGGACAGGTCTGTGGTGTGCCCAGAAAGCAGGGAAGAGGGGCTGACACCTGCACCTTCCCAGCCCGGGGCCCAGGTGCTGCCCGGGGCCCTTCCCTGCCCACCCTGCCCCAGGCTGGCCCTCACCCGGGCCAGGTCCAGGTCGGCCTGCTTGCGATGCCTCCAGAAGTGCACGGCGGGGCCCGAGTGGGGGCGCGTGACTGGCTCTCCGTAGACAAAGAGGAACGCCAGGGAGGCCAGCACCAGCAGCCCATTGAGGAGCCAGATCAGGGGGGGCAGCAGCCACTGGGCCCAGCCAGGCCCATCTGTGGGCAGAGGGAAGGGTTGGGGAGCCAGGTGCTATGAAACTCAGAGTCCCAAGTCCACAGGCCTGGGGTCTACACCCCAAGAGTCCCTCCCAGACATGCCCGGGCTGGCCTGTCCCACCTCTGCCCTCGGCGCCCAGCATGTTGCGCCCAGCACTGTGGTAGACACTGGTGGCATCCGCAGGGGCAGGAGCTTCCCAGCCCCCGAGCAGGGAGCCCAAGGGGTTGCAGGACAAGCAGAGGAAGACCAGTGTGCACAGGGCCAGGCGGGAACGGTCCAGCATGCCCCGGCTATGGGGAGACGGCCGCTGCTCCGGCTTCACCTGGTGGGGGTGGACAGGGCGGTGAGGGCAGAGCCCTAGGGACCTCAGAAAGCGCAGGGCTGGGCAGGAGGGGTCAGGATGCCACCTGCCTTACTGTGGGACCCCACACAGCTCCAGGCCTGTTATTCAGTCTATAAAATGGGAGGTGGGATCTGTTAGGGGCCTCTTCCTGACCCTGACCTGGGGCTCAGAGGATATCGCTGGGAGTGGGGAAGGGTGCCACTCAGGGCCCAACCTGGCTGTCCTCGAAGGCTGGGCTGTCAGGCTCGGAGTCACTGCCACTGCCACTGCCACCACTGCCACTGCCCCTGCTGCCAAGGGACAAAGGGCTGCTCTGGGAGGGCGAGCCGGCATCCGAGGGTGGTGGCGTCAGCGTGTCCTCCACCTCGGTCTTCACGCCCTCCATGAGTACATCTGTGCTGCCTCCACTGCCACAGGCGGACACCAAATCCTTCAGGGATTCTGCAGGCCAGAGAGGAACAGAGGTGGGAGTGAAGCCTGGACGTGCCACTCCAAATCTGAGCCCAGGGTCCTTGGAGTGGGGGGCTGAGAGATGGCCTAGCTCCAAGCTGCCCTGGGAAGCTGGGACAGGGCTCAGTTAGAGCCAAACGAGGAGCTAGGGCTGTGCCAGCAGTGACCAAGGGACTCAGCTGAAGGTGGGGCCCAAGTGGGAAGGGGGCTCGGGGAAGGGCCAGAGCCAAGGGTTAGGTGGGGCTGGGGACAGGCCCAGAGCCGCAGGTGTGGCAGGCCTAAAGGGGAAGCCATAGGCAGGGGCAGAATGAGGCCAGGACTCACTGCTTTTGTGGGCAGCAGTGCGCAGACTCAGGTTTTCCTGCTTGAGTTTCTGGTTGCTGTGCTGTAGAAAGCGGATGTAGTCTATGGCCTTGCGCAAGACAGCAGATTTATTCAGCTGCAGGGAGTGGGAAGGAGAGAGTGTGGGCCGCCAGTCAGGCCTGGTGGGAGGCACTTAGCAAGGGGGTGTGGAGTTGCTTTGCCACACAGCTGCCTCAGGACCTTTGCACTTGTTCCTTCTACCTGGAACGTTCCTCTGCAGTAGTACCTACCTCCCAGGACAGGCCTAAGGACTAACATGTAAATGCACACAGCAGTGTCTGGTAGCAGCTACTATCATCACAATCTTCATGCAGCACTCGCCCTCACCGAGGCCTTCCCTGACCACAAGATTTAGATTTGCAACTCCCACCACTCTTCTCCCTGCTTTATTTCCACCCTAGCATACTCTAATACTTCCTTAGCCATCCTGTGTATTGGCCACCTCCCCCACCAGAAAGGCAGTTCCTCCTCGAGGGCAGGGTTTTGTCTGCCTTGCTCATTGCTGCAGCCCCCAAGCCTAGAACAGCCCCTCTTTTGTGGAGGAGGCCGTGGTAAAGTGTAACGTAATAAACGGGGCTGGTCAGACCGGGGCAGGCTGGAGCCCAAGCCCCTGGTCTGCCCAGGCTTGGCTGCAATCTCTCCTTCCTTCCAGTTACCCCCGACTGCTCCTTCCCCAGGGTCACCAGAGTCTGTGCCTCTGCTCACACCTTCGCCTCAGTGCCCACCACCAGGTCCTTGAGCTCGACGATCTTGTCGTTGATGGAGGAGCGGTAGCGCTTCTCAATGGCATTGTGGGCTGTGCGCTTCTCACCACGGCTCTGGGCCGAGCCTGGGACCTTGCTGCCAGCTGCCAGCCGGTTGATGGGCAGCTTGTCAGCATCCACAACCAGTGGCACCGTTGCCAAGATGGTTCCACCACTCACCAGTGTCTGCAGGGCCAGGCAGGCATTAGCAAGTAGCATGCATGTGTGCAGACCCCATGCCCTTCTGCCCTACCCACGCCACCCACCTGCAAGGGCCCTGTCTGCACAGCCGCGCCAGGGACCAGTGGGCTAAGGCCTGCCGCCTTTACAGTGGCCCCCACATCTGTCTTCATAGCCGTCAGGAGCAGTGAGTCTGCCTTGATGAAGTGGGGCTGCAGCAGGACCTGGGGGTGGCAGAGGGCTCAGCCATGCGTTGTGTCTAGGCCAGGGGCTGCCACCTCCCCAACACCTGGCAGAACCCCTCACCGGGACCTGCTGGATCTGTGAGGCCACAGTGGTCGTTCCTGGGGCTGCTGTGGGGCCAGCTGTGGCTGTCAGTAGCTGCTGGGGGGCTGCACTCTGGACCTGGGTGTGCAAGGAAACGGGCGGGACCCCTGGCGGGGAAGCCAGTGGTAGGCTAGGCAGCGGCTGCTGGGTGCTCGGCTGTTGGGTGCTCGCAGGAGTCCCTGCAGAGATAAAGCCTGGGGCTGCGGCACAGGCTGCCCTCACCCACTTTCAGCCCATTCTTCAGGTCTCTATCACCATGTGGCCTTGGATTAGTCATTAGCCCAGTGGCTTCCTTTCTGGACAGCCCTGCTTGGTCTCTGATGCAAACATGCCAGCTTCCAACCAGGCCTCCAGCAGGAGGCAGTGCTTGACCCAGCAATAAGAACACAAGCACTCCTAGGAATGGAGTGTCTCAAGCAGCAGTTTTCTATTTGTAAAGCCTGCAAATTCCTCTACTAAGACCAAAGCAAACACCTCTTCCTGTGCTCCTGGCAGCCCCACCCCGGCTGTCCCCTCCCGCCACAACCCAGCCCTTACCTGTAGAGAAGCCTCCAGGAGGGCTGGGGTAGCCCAACACAGGGGTGGAGCTGAACTGCAGTGGGGTTGGGGCTGGAAAGCTCTGGGACAGGAGGGCTCCTGGAAGGGGCTGTGGGGTGAGGGGCTGCAGGATGCTTAGTGGCACTGACTCTTCCTTGATACCAGGCTCAGGGGAAAAAGTGGGCACAGATGGGTACATGTTCAATGGGGTGGGTGCGGGCTGGGGAGGGGACAAGGGTGAGGGCGCTGCCTTGGGTCCCCCCAGGAAGCCTTCAAGAGGGGAGTTCAACGTGGCAGGAGGTGGGGACAAGCTGCCTGGGGAGCCGGCATCAGGGCTGGCGGGGTCTGTGCTTCCTTCCCCGTCCCCAGCATAGGGTGGGTCGAACAGGCCAGGGAAGTCACTCTCTTGGTTGTTGATGAGCTGAAGCATGTCTAGGAAAAGGAGAAGAGGGTGTGTGAGTGACAATGGGATGGCGACTACCCCCCCAAACAAGGCATCACACATTTACATGAGCAAATCTATTTGCACACCTCTCACCCACAAACAACTGTGTATGTGTGGTCAGTGCCACAGGAACAGAAGAGCCACCCATAGGAGCCAGAAAGATCCAGAAAGATTGCCATCTCATGGGCCCCTGTACCCTCCAGAGCGATGCCTGGTGCCACAAGTACATCAGATAGCCCTTGCAACAAGTGGACAAGGTGGGCGCATGAGGCTCATCACAACCTTGTCTCAGAGCCAGGCTGGGGCTGAGCCGGGGTCAGGCCCAAGAATTCAGACTTCAGAGCCTGAGCTCGTCCTACCACCCAGTATTTGCCTGATCATCTGACAACATGCTCAGTCCACAGCAAACAGCAGGTCCATGTTTGTTCATTCATTCATTCATTCATTCAATAAGCATGTGCCAAGTGCACAAGCTACACCAGGCACTGTTCCTGGCCATGAACAAGACAGACAAAAATCCCTGCCCAGAACCAGGCAACTGTCTGGGGAGCTGGGAATGTTCTATCTCTTGATGTGGACAGCGGTAAACTTTTACTCCTGTCTTCATGGACCACACGTTCTAGAAGACATCACCTCTGAGTCTTCATATACATGCACACACGCACTTCCACACTGCACTGTAGACTCAACCAGCTTCCAAGTGCTTCCCCAGAAGGTGACAAGCCCTTCCAAACAGCTTTTCCTGCTCTTTCCACACTGTCACTACCCCTACTCTAGGACCTGGCTTGGCAAAGGAGCACCCACCTTGCCCAGGACAAAAGGAGTCCAGAGGCCCAGGTACAGCCTTGCCTGGCCCCACAAGGGCCTCAGTTTCTCAGTCTGTGAAACAGGGCCATGCCTCACAGATCTAGTAGGCCCAGTCCTTGGGAGGGGGATGGGACAGAGTAACCAGAGGGAGGAGGCAGCCTAGGGCAGGTGGGAAACAGGGCAGAGAAGATCTTCATATGGGTGTAAAGGGCCCCACACCCCACCCACCGCCACTGCTGTTCTCTTCCTTCAAGGCTGCCCAGCAGGGTTCTCTGGGCACAGCACTTGCGAGGGCAACGGAGAGACTGCTAGGAAGTGGGTGACCTCCCTGTCCTCCCAATTTACAAGGGGAGGACAAAGCACAGAGAGAGGCAGGACTGGTTCAGGGCCCTGAAGAGGTGGTGGGTCCTCCATGAGCAGACCAGCGAGGCGGCCCAGGCCCCACTCCCCTCAGGGCAGCATGGGTTCCCCAAAGAGACATGACAGACAGGGCAGTCCCCCAGGAGGTCAGAGCAGGGTCCTCATCCATGCTGGAAGGACTCAAAGGAGGTGGGGACCCATGTCAGTAGGGTGGGTCTGGGCCAAGAGCAAGGCCCACTCTGGGACCACCCACATTGATGGAGCCAGGCTAGGCCCCTAATCCTCCTGACACGAAGCTCTAAGAAGGTAGTGTGATTATTAGCCCCATTCTACAGATGAAGAAACTGAGCTGTAGAGAGGTGACTTGCTGACCTAAGTTCTTACAGTCAGAGACAAAACTGAGTTTAGACCCTGCCTGACCCAATGCCCCAACCACTGGCCACTGCCCTAGGCTGCCTCAGATGATTAGCTCACCTCATTTTGGAGAGAAAAAAGATATTGAGGTTCAGAGAGGGCCAAAAGCAGCCTAAGAGCATGCAGTGGGATTCGAACCCAGGTCTATAAAATGTCAAATCTATTGTCTCTGCACCTTTCCTTACCCTACCAAGAAGCCAGAAGCAAAGCTGCCATCACCAACCCATTACTCAGTGTAACAGACTGAGGCTTGAGGCTGAGCCAGCTGCTGGCCACGTAGTCAACCAGTGTGCCTCTGTGTGTTTTGGGCATAAGCCCAGGCCCTGCCTGCCGCCAAATAGCCTCAGGACCCAGGCCTGGCCATTCAGGGCTTTGGTTTCACCTCTATAAAAGCAAGTGCTGTCTGTCCTGACTCCTTCCTCCTCATACAGACTGGGACACACTCCCCACCTCAGCCCAGCCTGGCTGTAGGCCCTCTCCCCAAGCTGAGACTTGGCAGCCTGGCTGGCTCAGCCCAGGGCCCTCTAACCTACTTGCAGTGGCCACCCACTAGGTCAGAGTTTTCTACAGGACCCATGAGCACAATCCCAGGGGCCCCAATGCTCTCAGGGTCCCCAGCCTGAGCTCCCAATCCTGCCCATCACCAATGTGAGATTGAGCCTGGCCCAACTGAGCCTCCCCTAACTGGGCCTCAGTTTCTTCATCTGTACAACAGAAAAGATTAAAACCCTTCTTGGCAGAGCTGCCTGAGGCTTTGCCTACCGGGCAGCTGGCACAGAGTGGGAACTCAGCATTGCCTACTGACAGGTGCCCAGGTAGGAGACTTACTGCAGGAAGGGACCTCCCTAAGGCCTTCAACAGAGCATGATGGGGGTGGCAGGCTCAGCCTCCCTAGGTTCTCAAATTGAAACCCTCCTGGTTAGTGGACCCTCTAGGTTTATGCCGGTTATAAAGTCATAATGTACTTTCAAATGTGGGATCTTCCACCCCTCACCCAGTCCATATGAGCCCCTTTGATAGATGGGAAAAACTGAGGCCCTGAAAGAAAAACTGACAATGTTGACAATCTAGGGCTCCCACTGTCTGCCTGGAGATTCTAAGATGCCCCCAAAAGCAGGGCCACCAAACAGGTAGGACGCCCTGGCAGAGAACAGGACAACTGACCCTGCCCCAGATGTGGAGAAAGCCACCCTCTCCCACCAAACCCCCTTGGGTTCCTGGGTGCTGCTGTCAGGTCTCTAAGCAAACCCTTCCCTTGGGTTGCAGGGGGGATTAATGAGGTTGGGGGGTGGTCCACTCGCTCCCCCAGTGAGCCAGGAACTGGCACACGCTCTCCCTCGGAAGGGGCTCTGTCCTACTTCAGTTCCATAGCCTCCAGGCCCGCCACCCCCGTGAGAACCCGGGAGGCACTGCAATAAAGGGGTGGGGGTCCTCCGAAAAATACCTTCGAACGTGCAATCCATGGCTCGGCGGTCCGCGCCCGCCCCCTCGGGGCGTCCAGGCGGCTGACTCGGGCCCCTCCCCGCGCCGACCTCACCTGTCAAGGCTCGGCGGAGTTTTAAAGCCCGCTGAGCGCCTCGGCGCGCCCCGCCCCGCTTCGCCCGCTGGCCCCGCCCCTCCCGAAGGCCCCGCCCACTCCCCGCCCCACGGGGCTGCGGGCCCGGGCATGGGGTGAGTGCACGCGGCCAATCAGCGGCCGCGCCTCCGCTCACTCGGGCCCCGCCCCCGCCCCACCCCGCGACGGCGGCCGGGACTCGGGTTTCACCCAGCCGCGCTGAATGGGGCCGGGGTTACTCGCGGGCGTCCGCCTTTAACCCGCTCGGCGCCAACATCCGCCGGGGTTACTGGCGGTCACAGACCTCCTTCAACTCCCGCCCTTCCGTTATGGGGCCAGAGGAGGGAGGATGCCCCAACACCCCGGAGCTCTGTGTTCGAAATCATCCCTGGCTCACTGACAGCCTGAAAGAGCCTCAACCGCTCTAGGCCTCAGTTTACTCCTCCGGAAAAACAGGACAATTATATCTCCCTGACACGTAGAAGAAAGGGAGATAATATGGGTGCAGCCCTTAGTACAGGAGAAGCGCTTAATTAAGGCCAAGGGCTGCCGGGTGGTGGCTGCGGTGCAGGGACCTCACTCTTGGGGCACCCCCAGGATGGGGCTACCTCTCACTCCAGCCGATGCTGATGGTCTGGGATTGTGGGGACCACGGCTGATAACAAGTCACTTCCGGGAAACTGCGCCCCAGAGTAAGGAAGGGAAACTTCTATCCCAAATTACACATCCAGGGTCTCCTGACTCCCATCACCAGTGTCCCTCTGCAAGGTCAGGAAGTCTGACCCTCCCCCTCACGGTCTCACAGCCCTCTAGCTGTCACCAGGCGGGTCTCAGCTCACTTATTCATTGTGGGGCCTTGGGAGGCCAGGAAGAGACCTAGTTCCCTGGGACAGAGGTGGGGAAGGTAGGGGTGACAGGCTCTGGGGGGTCTTTTGAAGGACTGCCTGAGCCTTCTCCCGCCTGTCAAAGGTAAAATTTCCACACACACACACAGATGGTCAGACCTGGCCAAGGGACCACCCACAGGCCCACCTCAGCCTCACATGCAGGATGGCTGTTCGCCCACGCCCCAGCTGTGGAGGGTGGCTGAATCCTGGGCAGGCAGGCCCAGCAGCTCAGCAGTCAGTGTTGCGGGCTGAGGGCCCTTGTGACCCAACTTCTCCCTTTTCATGAGCTTAAGCAAGAAAACTCAGCTATCTCTCTCTCACACCCTGTCCCCCACCCCCTCCAGGTCCTTCTTTCATGGCCTTACAGGTTCCAGAACAATAGGGAGGTTCCAGGACAATAGGCACCCTATCCAGCACCTCCCCTCCTCCTCAGCCTGTGGGTGCTCACACTCCCTCACCCCCAAACCAAAACAAAACCTTGCTCTTGGAACAGCTCTGACCTCACATGAGCGACTCAAGACAGGGAAGAGCCTTTGACCCAAAAGCACTGAGAGCTCAACTCCAGGCCTGAGCTCCCCAAAGCAGACCCTCCCTCTTGGTCCTTTCATTACTGCGCTCCCCAGTCTCAGAATGTGGCAGGGCCAACAGGCCTGAGACTGGCAGGGCTTGGGCCACTGTGGAAGGTCAAACCCTGTCCCCTCCCCTGCCTTTTGTTTTCATTTCTCTTGTCACCCTGCTCTGCCTCTAGCCCATCCCACTGAGGAGGAAGGCGAGGACTTTGCTCACTGAGCTCCCTGAGGGCAGCAGGAGTCAGGGGATGCTTCCAGAGGGATGAGACCCAGGAAGGGAGGGCTGGCCTTGCAGGCAGAGGGCACCGCCTAGGCTAAGACGCATAGAGGAAGGGGCTAGTGACATGTGGAGGGGCCAGAGGAGACCCCACCTCCTTTCCCCTGGAGCCGGATCTGCTGGCTGATTTCTGTAGAAGCTGCTCACTGGGGTTAAGACTGGAGGTGGAAACTCTAGAGCCAGTCCCACAGCCCCCCACCCCAGAGACAGAGCCAAGTGGGAGGGTCTGGGGCAGCATGCCAAGGCCTGCTCTTCCCCTCGCCCCCTCTCCTGCTGTGTGACCAGGGCAGTCCCCCTCTCCCAGCCCCAACCCCTAGAACCCTAGGGGTGGGGATTATGGGAGAACAAGTGTGTAAAGCAACCCCTACTCAGTGGCGTCTCAGCAAAGGTTAGTTCCCTCCGTAGCAGCTGGAATGGTCTAGAACTGGAAAGTCAGGTAGTGAGTTGCTGGGTTCAAGCTGGAGCTCCATAACCATTTGATGGGGATTTTTTTTTTTTTGAGACAGGGTCTCACTGTGTTGCCTGGGCTAGAGTGCTGTGGCGTCAGCCTCGCTCACAGCAACCTCAAACTCCTGGGCTCAAGCAATCCTGCTGCCTCAGCCTCCCGAGTAGCTGGGACTACAGGCATCCACCACCATGCCCGGCTAATTTTTTCTATATATTTTCTATATATTTTTAGTTATATTTTTAGTTGGCCAATTAATTTCTTTCCATTTTTAGTAGAGATGGGGCCTCGCTCTTGCTCAGCTGGTCTTGAACTCCTGACCTTGAGCGATCCACCTGCCTCCGCCTCCCAGAGTGCTAGGATTACAGGCGTGAGCCGCCAGGCTGGTCTGATGGGGATCTTTTTAAGGGGAGTTAACAGGGCCTGACTAGGGTGAGCAAGAGTCACCTAGGGTCCACAATTTAAGGCAGTGCCTCTCTCGCCTCACCCTGGTCCCTGCCCTGGAAGCTAGGACAGTTGGTCTCAAGAGGCTCGCCCACAGCCCCTAAGCTGTGGCCGGCCGTGGGCGAGCTGAGCACCAGCTTCCCCAGGGGCATTCAGAAGGTGCTGCTGGTTCCTACGCACTTTCTGAACACCGAGAAGGGCCTCAGTGGGCCCCCCTGGCCCCTTGCCATTCACCTACCCAGGCTTGTGAACCCCCGACAACCCCTCCCCAAGCCTGGATTCCTCCTTTTTCCTCCTCTCCTGCCCTGATTCTATCAGGATTCAAGGGGAAACCTGAAACCCCACCCCACCCCAACTCCCCCTTCTACCTTCAAACATCCCTCTGGAGGCAGGTGGGGGCAGCCTTTAATGACTCTGGCCTGTTGATTCTGTGAGGCCGGGACAGAAATCTTGAGATTTCTGTCACAAACGTGCAGAATTCAGCTCTGACCATCATAGAAGCCTACAACTCCTTTCAACCCGCACAAGACCTTGAGCCCCAACAACCTCTGCTTGCATGCCTCCTGGGATAGGGAGCTCACCACCTCTCCCCTACAACCTGGTCCACAAAGCCCAGGTCCATCTCCTTCACAACATCTACTGCCCTTCCCTAAGCGTCCAGTGTGCCCGTCCTGTGCCAAGCACCAGGGGCACAGATGCACAGCACAAAGGCCTTTCCTGATGGAGCTGATGTGATGATGCGGGGGACCAGTGGGATGCAAACGCATGGGGAAATGTGGGTGCGGGTGGCAATGAGCACCAGGAAGAAACTGAGGCAGGGTAAAGAGAGTGTGAGGAGGCCTGAATGAAACAAGGGAGTAGGCCAGAAGGGAGGACTGAGGAAACAGCACTGAGGTGCAAAGGCCCTGAGGTGGGTGCAAGGATGACACAATGGCGGGACAGTGTGGCTGGAGCAGAGGGATTGGGGAGGGTGGAGGCCAGGGAGGCAGCCAAGGAGTTGGGATTCCAGCCCAGGTCTGTGTGTCACCTGAGCCAAGGACCCTGATTCTCCAGGGGATGATAGGAAAGGGATTTGCAAGCTGTCCTGTGCAACACAGATCACAAAGAGTGCACAGCCCATGGAGAAGGGTGAGCGGTGTGAGTGGCGGTGTGTCACCCCACCACACGGGAGGACGCAGGACGTTGGCTCGTGGGCTCCCAGAGCACGCGACCTCTGCCTGCTGGTGGAGGATGCAGGGTGGGGTGGGCGCTCGCCTGTGGCTCCGGCACCAGGCTGCATCCTGCCTGCATCCTTCCTGCTCCCACCTCGTGCCTCCTTCAGGTCGTCAGGTTCCGGTGTCCTCAGCTGGCCATGTATGCAACAGGGGCACAGGCTGCCCTTTGTGCACTCACAGTTGCCCCAGGGGAGCCAGTGTGTGCCAGCTCTTCCCAGAATGGGATGGGCCAATGGCTGGAGCCCCGGGCACACCTGGGCCCTCCTGCTGCATGAGGAAACTAAGGCTCAGAGGGAAGCCACGTGCCCAAGTTCCCACAGCTACCAAGTGAAGAATCTAGGACTCAACCCCAGTACTGCTGACCCGAGAGCCTACTCTGCAGCCCCAGCCTGCCAGGGACAGGAGTGAGCCCCAAATGCAGCACGGCTCTACCCAACCAGCTGTTACCACTTGTCACAGCTCAGTTAGGAGACATGAGGCTCTTTAAGGCTCAGCTCTAGCACTGTCTCCTCCCGGAGGCCTTCCTAACCACCACCCCCAGGCCCACTCCACCTCCCTCGCCAGATCAGAGGCCCGGCCTCAGCTGGACCCCTCAAGGCAGGGCCAAGGCCTGAACCAGCTCTGTGACCCCAGCCCCACCCAGCACGGAGCTGAGCACAGAAGGGACCACAGTTAGGAGCTGTGTGGATTCCAGCCACAGCCGCTCCCACCACTGTGCCCTGCTGGTCTCCCTCCAGCCACCTCAGTGCCATCACCCACACACTCGCTCAGCCTTGCTTTACTTGTCTGCTTTCTGAACATACCACACTAATGCCATCATGCATTTGCCCAGGCGTTCCCTCTGCCAGAAATGCCCCTTCCACTGTCCTTTGTTCACCTGGCAAATTCCTATTCCTCACTCAAAACTTGCTCTGATGTCACTCTGGATCCTCCCCTAGTCTGTGCCACTCCACACCAGACCCTCATACACTGACCACATTGTCCTGTGAAACTCAGTTACACGTCCCCGTCCCAGAGCCACAGGTGTGCTGAGTCACTCCGAGCAGAGCTGGAAGATGGAGATCAAACAAGCTGTGGTCGGCACCAGTTCAGGTCGTCAGCCCGGGCACAGGCTTGCCATTCTGGCAGCTGAAAAACAGCCTGAGC